ATTTTTTTTTGTTATTGAAAATTTGGACGTATGCATCCGAACCACTAGGCGGCGACAGTGAAAGAGTTAATACATTTAACAAAATAAACATTTTTAAAGATTTAGAAAATAGAATTACTGTTGAGTGTGTAAGCCACCATGTTGAAATTACGTCACAGGGGCAACTCGGACAACAAAATCTTGTCCGAAATCAACGTCATAAAAGAGGCGTGTTTCCGACGGGAAGTGACGTTTTTCGTGACGTTTCGTGACGTTTTCTTCCTGGTGCCAACTTGGAGAGAAATAATCGAAAGCACCATAAAGTACCCCCGACATACTGAACATACTGTGATGATGACAATTTGTACATGATAGTCTAATACATAGATATTTTCGCTTATATGTTATTTTTGCAGGCTACAATACTGTTTTGAATGTGGACATTGCATTGTTGTTAAACAGATTCATCGCTTGCACTGCTACGCCCTTATTCGGGTGGTGCTTTTCTACTAAATTTTGACTATACGAGTGAGGCATGCCGACTGAGACTGAGCATGGGAGACAATTACCCACAATCCCGGAGCAAGAGAGAGAGAGAAGAACCATCGGCTCATTTGTGATCACGTGTCGCTAGGCAGACAAAGCGTATATGTAATACTCGTATTGCAAAACCTCACTCTTTTATCAAGTTAAAATTTATATACACTCGCAAACCAAGTTACTTGCAATCTGAGGTTTGACTGTACTTCTACTACATTTTACTGTATTATTGAAAATGAAGACATTGAAAAAATGTTAGTCACTTGTGCATTTTCAAACAATATTTCAAACATCCTACTTACAGTATATCCAGTCTCTTGCAATCAATCCCTGAATATAAAACACAATAATTTGAAACTTTGTAGTATAGAAATTGTTATACCACACAGAAAATACCCTTGTCAAAATTAATAAAGATCAAACAATTATATTGAAAACATGTTCATGCATTTTGACCATCTTGTTTATAGGCCATGGTACAAGGATTTTTCATTCTGATGACACTGACAGTTTCACTGATGCAAATATTTGCTTTTGGGGCATCAACTAAGCATATTGAGCAAGTTACTTGCTTTTGCAGGTAATATGCTGTGTTTTGTGGTTTGCACACCTGTTGTGCAGACATAAATTGTTTCAAGAAATACACCAAAGCAATTAAGAAAAACTGTAAAAGTGTACTGTACTTACTGTAATATGGAGTTTAGCAAAGTTAAAATGAGTGTCTTTGACATGAATAAATATCAGTTTGCTAAAGAAGAATGATCGGTTTGTGACAATGTGAAATTGGGAACTGACCATCATTCTGAATTGTTGTAATATATCTAAGCATTTTGGCTCTCATGATTAATACCATGCTGATTGTATTTTTCATTTTGGTGGTACTGACTAATTCATTGATGGAATTATTTGTTCTTTAGAAACTAGTTAATTCTTTGGATTAAGTTACAGGCCTTTGCATCTAAACCTTAGTGTTGTGCTATGTGCATGAACTATTTTGAGAAATGCTCTTATAGCCTTGCAAATGTTAAGTATGTTTTGTGAAATGTACCAAAACAATCGAGAAAAACTCTAATAAAGAATTGCACACTTTCAAAATATGTCATCACTGAAAAAATATGGATGAGAATCAAAAGCATTTCTTAAAATCAGTGTTAATAAGTACATAAAAGACACCCCTTAGTAGTTTCATGAAAAAAGTCTTTGTTGACTAGTTTAATTCAAAATACCCAAGTTTAAACATTTTAAAATAATTCTAACAAAACAGGCTGCTTCGCAAAAGTGTTTTCCTCCTGAGACCCCACCCATTCATTTATGTCCATTGTAGTGGACATTTTGTTTTTACATCTATCTTTTCACTGATGTAAGGAAACATATTTATTCCTGTTGTACACTAAAGAGAACATGCTGTGAAATTAGAAATAAAAATACATTTGAAAAAATCTAAATTGTAAGAGGTCTTATTTCCTCCAAAGACAAAAAACCTAAAATTGAAGGACACTTTTTTCCTTGGATCTCAGGAGGTTAAGTGATGTGAAAATGTATTATTTAAAATGTTATTTCTGTGATCTGCACCACAAAATCTATCTGACACACCAACAATTATACAGGAAACAAAACCTTGTAAACCAGGGATATAATCATTTGTACTCGTTGCCGAGCTGACTGTTAGATTTCCGGCATTTCAACATTTCTGTGCAATTGGGACTGTTTTGATGTTTTAAGAAAAAATGAGATGTTTGTCTTTTTGCAGTCTATGTAAGTACAGTCACAGCGACAATTATTTCTCAGAGGGACAGGTCATATCACTGAATATAATGTAAAATGAATACACTACTCAGTAAAATGAACCTCATTTTAGAATTGCACTTCTAGGTACTTTAGGCAGTTTTGCTTTTGATTGGGGGTGCTGTCACAGAAACCTGTGTTGATATTACTGAAATGTAACAGCAGTATTTGAGGACCCACTGCCCTTGGTGCTGAAGGAGGAGACAGGCTAGTAAATAATCATGCAGATAGTCGCCAGACGGTCAACAGATGGCTCCTAGGGAATATTTGAATAAGCATGCCAATTAAACCCAGTTGCCTAGAAATAGGATGTGGAGAGCCTCCATGCCAGTCAGCCTCCATGCTGTCCCTGAAGGGTCCGGCTACACAGCACATGTCCTGCTCTGAGCCCACATTAGAGTCCTGAGAAAATGTGAGCCTCAGATCAGGATCATATTCTGTTAAATACCTGCTGGGTATGTGTTTACAATGAAACTGTCACTATATTCATATTGTATTTACATTTCCGCTTCTTGTTTGTTGTTTATTAGTTACACTGACATAAGGTGTATTTCTTCTTTACTGTTTGATCTTTTATCTTGAACCTTTTATCAGGAGCAGCCCCTCTGGGACCCTTGGGCAATCTCAAACCACCTACAGCATTTTTTGTCTTAGAGCCTGCAGCCAATGGAACATGCCCAGAACAGCTCCCCTGGGAACAGCACCTTGAGCCAGCTGGGGGATCCTTATGAGATGCCCAAATCACCTCAGCTGAGTCCTTGCCATCCAAAGGAGAAGTGGATCTAATTTGAGGTCACTCATCATCTGATTTGCTAAACATTTATACTTGTTGGCAATTACATATAGTGAACACTAGAGGGAAACAGAGTCTAAAAAACAATTGGCACAAGTGGAGTAATGGTACTGGGCCCTGGGTGGGAATGTTGATATGAGAAGGTCTATATTCTCTTTTTCAGGGACTTGGGAGTTTCTATCACAGGGGTGCAGCATGGTGCAGGCAGGACAATGAGGTGGGTGATCCACTTGCGGCTCCAGAAGAACACCGGGGTTTATTAACAGAAAATGAAAACACTAGGAACACTACAAAACAAAATGGACCATGAGGGGTCAAAACTAAAAAGGGGTATGAAGTAAATTAACACAACCAAAAGCACCTACCTGGGGGAAACTAGTAACAGAAAACAGGCAGGGAAGCAAACAGGGCAAACATGCAGAAGCACCAACATCCCAGAACCACAGTCAACAAGACCACCAAGAACAAAATACTAAATGTACTAAAACATTTGGAGATATGTGTGAAGCAATGAGAAAACATGATCTGCTGTACGGAAGTGACGTTCTTGTGTGGGAATTACAGTTGTTGTTTTGCAAATGCTAATTGTCATTTGGGAAATGCTCTAAAGCAATTGAGAATAATTTTAACAATATTGCATGGGTTTAAAAATCCAGCCATGTCAGAAGAATATGCTATACTGTACCTCATTAGACCCAGATATGCTAAAATGACCACATTTATCAATTTAGACAGTCAAATTTTTTTTTTCATTTTGGTGCAACCGTAGCATTAACATGTGACTGAATGCGCAAGCAAATCTTTATTCCATAAACCACACACTTCCTAATTTGTAACCCACTAGTGAAAACTTACTGCACTTTTTTTGCTTAGTATGTTAAGGTTTGATATCAGTTCAAATTTGAACTGAAATGCTCTGTGACCATGGTGTTAACAAATCATGGCATTGGAAAATCACACAGAAAGGTCAAGTGTAATTTATCTCACGTCAACAGCCTATGTGGGAAGCCAGCCAACAAAACTAACATTTCAGGTCCCAGGTTTTCTCCCTGATCTGCAGTAACCCAGGCATTTGGTACATTATGTACATTTTCTCACCATGGTGATGTAATGTACACAAATGTTCTCATCATTTCAAATGAATTGCATTATGTGCAGCCAGTTCATCTTTGTGGAGACAGCCTCAGCAGCATTCATTATAGGTTGGAGCATGGCTGGACTGGGATTATAAATCGACCCTGGACTATTGCCCATGCAGGCCCACCACACATACAAAATCAATAGTTTTTTCAGCCCACATAACTATCGACCCTTAGGGAAAACGCCCAGTATGCCTGATGGCCAGTTCAGCTCTGGATTCCCAAATGAAAAAAGAGTAGGTTTGGGGGTCCTTAATATTAATGCCTGATCACGTACATAACTATTAATTATAAGAACTAAGGTCTGGGAGCGAAACAGTCTTTAATATTACTAATAACAAAACATTTTAATAACAAATAACAAAACTTTTAATCAGCGAAAGTTATTCTATGACCTTAAAAAGCTTTATGAAAAAATACATAATGTGACTGATTTTGTGAACAAAAGGAAGTGGCGCTCCCAATGACGGAGCTGTATGAGTATAACACGGCGTGACCGATCTTGCTTTCACTGCTTCCTGGAAGGACGCAATGCTTACGTAAGGTTGCTAATGAGAGGCTTTTGTGAGGGAATAGGGTGTGGCACGGCAGTGGTTGGCTAGGCACGCACTCAGGCACCTACAGGTAGACAGGCAGAAATAAGAGCTTGCCTGGAGTGGCTCCTGTAAACACAAAGGCAGCTGCAGTCCCAAAAAGGGAACCACTTATAGTCACACTGGCCCAGCAAAAACTGAATTTCTTTTGGTCTATTGTTGTTTGTTTGTTTTGGTTTCCATAGTTAGTTAAGAGAGTCTTTAAAGGGGGATGACTCAAATGATTTTTTATGTTATTTCTTTTTACTTTCATTTTCAGCAACGCCAAATGCTCAGCCTGAACAAAGAGACCGGTTAAGCTACTCTCCTGTTTCCTTCTTTCAGCCTTGAATCTGACACTACAGAAAAATGAGAGGAACTAGACGCCGAGGGTGTGCTGTGTTCTCACGCTGGTTTTGTGGTCACCTTGCTACATGAGGCTGTCACAGGATGTCTGTCAGCAATTCGATCAGACAGCTAAGAAGACCACAGATGTTCCACTTCCTTCTGCTTGAGAGTGAAGTGTACAGAAGGCATCAGCAGCCACTTACGGATCAATTCAGGCACACAGAAACAGAGAGATGGAAACTCCTGAGCGGCTGGAGCGAATTCCACGACGCCTCCGGGTGTCCCTACTTCTACTCTGCTTGAGCACAGCTGTGCAGTGGGGTAAGACCGCACCCAACTGGGAGCTCGACTTCTGCATCTCACACAGTGACCTTACATACAGAGAAGAATGCTTCACAGAGAACAAAATATCATAAAAATGAAAAATGATGTAATTCTTGAAGCCTTTACAGGATATCACACACAAAGCATATAGTCACAAAGCATAAAGAAAAGAGCTTATGGTATTAACTTCATGTGGAAGTTCAACATGAATGTGGAAGGCACTGCATTTGTGAGTAGCTGAGAGCTGCTATTAGGGCTCAGAGAAAGTTGTTTATTATTGTTACATAACACCAAAAAGAATTAAAGGATACATACACATTTATATATCTATCTATTTATTCATCTTCTAGCATATTAATGAATAGTAAAACACTTTTAATAGTCAAGGAAGAAGCGCGTCAATTTTGTATATAAATAAACTAATGAAAAGTATTGAATTAATACTGAATTCTGCCCCAGCTCTGTGTGTGTGTGTGTGTACATGTATACGTGCGCATGTGCGTGTGTGTGTTCTGTCTCAACAGGCCTAAAATTACAACAGAAGTAGTTGATTAAACGCTTGTGGTAGATGTCCTCTGTCTTTCAAAAAGCGTTTGTGGCAGGGAGGATGTGAGAAATTCATGGTGGTTATAAGAAACAACATCTACATAGTGGCATTGAGTACATTCACATTGCTATTTGTCCGGCTACAATTCACAGTACTGCTTTTGTCAATCACGTTAAGTGTGTGCTGTTTGGCAGATCTGTGCCATTTAATGCCATGAAAATTCCTTCTTCATGGACTCAGTCCAGATTGTAATACAGGTTGTGTCACGTTGCGGCAAGCAGGGATGCAGGAGAGCGAGCCGAACTGACGGGTAATCAGGGGTTTTAATAGGCAAAAGACAGACAGGTAGGGACATCTAATGGACAATACAATGACGAATCTGGGGAAGACTGACTGAGACTCGGACTAAATACATGAGACAAGGCAAAAGGAATAGGTAACAGGTTGTAGGGGAACCGTCCACTGGCCCAATGGCGGAATCCAATTGGACAGCCGAAGGCTTGAAATGCGTGTGGATCCTTCCGAGCGCTTCTGTAAAGTTACTTACCCGTTGTAGGTAAAGACCAAATTACATCTGACTCCAATTTAAGTAAAGATCTTTATTGGCAAGTTTAGTCATGACATGTCTGTTATTTAGATTACTTCTGGGCTGTGCCTTCTATTGCTGAACTCCCACTAATCCCGGACGATGGGGCGCATCGGATTCGCCTCGGCCGATAAGGCGATCCGTGACTCTGCTATGTAGGTTTAGATGTTGGACAACCACTACAAGGTAATACAATGCCAGCCTGGATACCCGTCATGACCCGGCGGCCCTTAACGCCCCAGAGGCTCAGCTGACCATTGCCGAATCCGAGCTAGTGAGGGCCACAGAGGTTAAGCCGATGTCTGCCGTAACTCAGCGTGTGCACGCCTCAGAGGCTGGGCCGGATTTGGTGCCGGAACTCAGCGTGTGTACGCCTCAGAGGCTGGGCCGGTCTATTACCGTAACCCAGCGTGTGCGCACCTCAGAGGCTGAGCCGGACTTTGTGTCGGAACTCAGCGTGTGCACGCCTCAGAGGCTGGGACGATCTACCATAACCCAGCGTGTGCGTACCTCAGAGGCTGAGCCGGACTTTGTGCCGTAACTCAGCTTGTGCGCGCCTCAGAGGCTGGGCCGTACCTGCCGTAACCCAGCTTGTGCGCGCCTCAGAGGCTGAGCCGGTCTTTTACCGTAACTCAGCTTGTGCGCGCCTCAGAGGCTGGGCCGGACCTGCCGTAACCCAGCTTGTGCGCGCCTCAGAGGCTGAGACCGGAACCTGGCGTAACCCAGCGTGTGCGCGCCTCAGAGGCTGAGCCGGTCTTTTACCGTAACCCAGCGTGTGCGCACCTCAGAGGCTGAG